GGCAGTAAGGTATTTGACCCAGCAATGAATGACCCAATTAATACAAAGCAACTTCTTAGTCATAATCAGTATTGTATTAAATGCAGAAGTAATGATAATATGAATTGTATGGAATATGATCACAATCGTACACTACTGTAAAGTTGTACAGTCATGGGTTAAGATTCAGAGGTCAGCATTCCAACCAATCGCAGAGATGGAGACAACTGGATGTTCATATTTTAATACGTAACCGGATGAAGACCCATCCTACATTAGATTTTCATGGTCACAAGATACATTTTATGTATAAGAAAACAACCAAATAAAAGATGTTTTTACATTAGGTTTTAATGGTCAGTATGCACAGTAAAAAGTAAGGCTATAACAACTACTGTACAGTGAACAGGCATAAGAATGAACACAGTAGACACATCCTACAGAAGTAAATAAGTTAAAGCTTCTCATGATAGCAAATCAAAGGGATGGTATAGTAGAATGTATATATTTTCAGTACTACCAGGATAAATAGAGAATATAGTATGCATTTCTTATTGTAGTTTAATAGTCAGTTTGATGAAATATCAGTTGATAGATAATATTACACATTTTATTCATAAAACTAGTCTGCTCCAGCTACAAAGAGATCAATACTATATTACTATGTCTGATGGCCATTGAACAATAATTTAATACAGATCACAACTTGAGGGAGACGCATTACGAAAAAATAAATTATTCACTAATTTGTTTGTAATATCTCATAATTCAAAATCGTAAACATGCTCAGAGGATTAACAAAGACGCGACATTAGACACAATTACTGCGAGTAAAGTAAAAATAAATAAAAAATGATAGCAACGCCGATACATCTCTCTCAAGGGTACAGTATTAGTTGAGACTATCTATGAGATAATGATTGGCGTAATCTCCTTTTTGTTTTCGATGGTTCATAAGTACTGGTACTTGTACGATATATTTTAAGAGATTAAATTGAAAAATTAGATTAGCAACAAAGACAAACATAATTGTCAGAGGTCAAGCTATAAATTTGATCTCTGCAAGTTGACCTACATATTTTTTGATGATACAATCAAAATGGCAATTTAAACATAAACCTCCTAAAATAGTACTGTACTGTATATAGTAAAGTACAAACAACTAATGTACAACACAAATAAAGACAACAAATTGCCAATTAGAGCTGTACTATCTGTACTTTTGTATTGTGTTAAAACAAACATGATCAGGGTACTAAGTGTTTACTGTTCGAAAAAATTACTAATGTACTGTACTGCATGCAAGTACTGTACTTGTAGAGCTTAGAAAATTTTAGCTTTGCAAAATGGACTTGTAAATATCCTCATTACTGTAGGAACTGTAATAATAATAACAACTTTATTTTAAAAACTGAGAAAACTTGTATCACCATATTGGTGTTTTTCACAAGGCCGTTTTTGCAGAAAGATATTAAAATGAAATGAAAAAACTTTAAAAAAAAAAAACAACGTACATTTTGAAATACATACTGTATTTTTGAGAAGTGTTTTGAGGGGGGAGGGAGTTTATTCGAGTGAGGCGTTTATTTTTTGGGTGTAATTTGTAAAATGAATATGTATTATACAAATTACTCAAATAAATGCCCCTTAATTGCACTGTAAATGTGGAACTGCAACACATACAGTAGTTACTGTCAGAATGTATTACAGTATTTGCATGATCATAACGACTTATTGATCCTTTAAACCAGGTTAGAATTCTACTGGAGTTGAACATTAATAGAATGTGCTGAAAATGATGTTGCTTCCATTATTTGGGTTTACAGCCATTTACAGGGGTGTTTATTGGAGGAAAAATAAAAGCCCTGGGGGGTTCGAGGGAGGCACTTATTCGCAATGAGGCTCTGGAGGGGAGTTTATTCCTTAGAAGACAGAGGTTCAATTTTCACTATGAAACTTTAAATTTGGAAAAATTATGTTGTATTATTACTGAATCTTTTTAATTTCGAATTATAAAATGAATGAATACCAATATCACTATTTAAATAAATTTTTAAAAATTCTAAAAGTTGAAATTTATACAGTGAAATATTCTGATATCAAACATGCCTCCTTCATCATGCCTTTGAAAAATACCATAAATTCAGAGATCTGCTATTGTACTTACAATACTAAGAGTTCATTTTGTATGTGTATGAATTTCTTTTATTTTGTAATACCTTGATATTTATCATGTTTCTACAGTACAGGGTGGTCCATTTGTAAACCAACATTGATGAACACATGCCACCCATCAGAACACATGAATAAATATCCTGAATAATATTAATTCCGAAAATATAGAGTTTCTATAATTTAAATTATTTACAGTATGGTTAAAACTGAAGCTAAAAAAAAAAAATATTTTTCATATTGACCTACTGTATTATTACCAATTAATATTAACCAAAACAGGTGCATTGTAGTTACTGATTAATGGGAGAGAGAGGAAGAATGGCAACATCAAGTACTCCAAATGCCAGAAATGGCATTTGTTCTAGTGTTGACAAGGGCTGTCTTACAGTATGTACAGTATGCATTAGTAATCCCTAGGCATAGATGGGTTTGGCTTGTTCTTAAATCTTAGTGTACTGTAGGCTTAACAGCACTAGGCTCTACAAAAGGGATTTTGGGTAGTCCAACAAGTAGAACTTTACAGAAATGGTTGCACAAAGCAAAAGTAACGATTAAAAAAAAAAAGAAACAGTAAAAACCTAAAAATAAACTAGAGTGAACCAGGATGACACATAAAGCTAGCAAATGCTGGTTTATTTTTAATGGGATCCCATACAACAGCATTGACAAACAACAAACAAGTTGTTGTTTATTTTTCAAGTTCTCAGGATCTGGTCTGGTGTTATATTTTAATGAGTACATTATCATCTAATCATGGCAGTGAACTGCTTCAAATAAAGAGATGACAGAAAATAAGCCTTCTTGATTTTAACTATATCAATAATGAATGATTATTGTCAATAAACTCAAATGTCATTGTTGGAATGTACCATTTTATAAGAGGGGCTAATTAAACATTCTCAAATCACTGGCAAGTTGTGTCTTCAGAGTGCAGGCGATGTACTGTATAAACACACACTACCCTATACCTAGCCAAAACATTAACTTCAAATGTTAAACAGAGGTTTGTAAAGTGCACCCCCAATTCAAGACCTCTCTAATTTGAGACCACTTTTTCCAAAGAACCACATAACCATCTCCCATCTTTTAACGCCAACTCTCCAAATTTGAGACTAAACCCAAGACCACCCCAAATTTTCAGGTCGCAAAGGTGGTCCAAAATTAGAGGGTGAACTATAGTTTTGTTTGCCCTAAGAGCTTTCAGTGGAGTTTTGTTTGAAGTTCACACCCTCGTATGTTAATATGTTACTATGCAATCCAGGCTCTCTCAGTATGGTGATATTGTTGAAAACTTCCAACTATATACAGTAATTCAAGAAACGTAGAACTACTATAGACTTGTCAATATTGACCTGAATTAACAAGTAAAGCAGTTGTTTGGTAGTCCAAGTACTGTATTCGACTTCTATTCTCAGGTTCCTAGGTCCAAATCCTGGAATATTTTTTTACAATCTCTAATACAGTAACTTAAATCTACTCCTCTACATCATTCCTATAAGAACATCGTCTCATAATATTTTCAAAGAAGTAGATACACAGGGTATATATGATTCTAAATCACTATCAAATTCTTATGTTCCAAATTCAAATTTGCTCTCATTTCAATGTGAAATGACACATCATCAGTGGCACCAAGAGGCCAGGGAACCCGGACCCTGCAGGGACCTGTGATAACTAGTTAAATAATAATAAAATAAAATAAAATAAATAAAAATGATTAAACGTAAACATTCATCCAGTCTCATTCATATGTTTTTCCCACGAGATTGTAAATAAAGCTTACACTGCACATTATGCCTAGAGTAGTCTTTGGGCATTTATATTATCATCATGTCAACACTGTATATGAGCAAATTAGACACTTGGTAACTAATGTGACAAGTTACTTACTACTGAAGAAAAGAAAAAAAAAAACAAAAAAAAAAAACTAAACTTGCCACCAATACAAACTGTAAAGTACTGTCTTTATTTACTGCAAGTAGAGTATACGTTAAAATCTGTTACTTTGCTGCTGCATCAGCAAAATTATGTTTTTGTGTGTTTTTGGAATGAGATAAAACAAACAAAAAAGAAAGGGGAATATATACAGCAGAAAGACACCAGGCTTCCAATTAACAGATGAAGGGTTCATGTTTGAGGCTGGTCACTTGTCTGTATGCAGTAGGCAAGGCATTTACATGTAGCTACTGTACTGAAGGTAATGACGGAAATGTAACATTTAACTTTTTATTGACCCGAGTCAATGATGGCATCGTCATCGAAAAAAATTATGTTAAATTATATAGTAATATAGTAAACACTGAAGTTTAACTGCACATAGTAATGGTAGTTGAGAGAATAATTTAATTTGGATATTGTTGAGTCTATTTCGTGAATACTTACCTGGATGGCCGATTGGTTGCCGTTGTTCCCAAAATGGAACACCCCTTCGAAAAAAAAAATGGAACAGTCCGACCCAAGGCGCCACGTGCGAACAGACTCCCTAACAAACGTCCTCATTCCCTAAAGATCGACACGATCACGGCGAGGGTAGGAAGGGAGGGAAGGTTATCCAGGTAAGTATCTCACTCATAGACTACCAACATCACGATTGATTTGTGTAGTCTATTACTGTACGTGAATACTTACCTGGATAAACTAGGTACCTAGTAGTTTTGAATATGAATGACTAAAACATGGACTACCCACTGCAGGAAATTGAGTACGCCTACTGTACAGATGTGTTCCATATCTGATGTAATTTTTTAATTTAAATATATTTATGAAATTATTAAAAAAAATATTTATGAATGTGTCTGTTTAAAATAACGTATTATTCATGCTTGACTAATTGCAGGTCTGCTTACCAGAGTTGGTGGTACAGCAAGATCACCAAATTTCTACTCAATTTTTCCTGTTTTCTGAGTTCTTCCCTTCAAAGAACAAAATCTGAAAAAAAAAAAAATTCCAAAATTTATCAATAAAGGAGAGCCACATGGAATCATTTCCATTCCTTGGAGAGTACCCTGTAGGCTGATTTCAGTCGATTGGATTGGATTGGATTTATTCGTGTAAACACCAAGAATAGCCCACGAATGTCTCGAAGAAGACTTATTTCCAGTGGGGTCCTTCTGGTGGTGATTGGCCAGTACACCATAAATGCACACGGGACCAACGGCTTAAATGTCTCATGCGAAAGACGGTGCACTATTACAGTATAACTTGTATATCAGCATTCCAACTGAAAAACAAGGAGAGGCAGTGATGGGAATTGAACCGGGGACCTATAGATTTCCATGGTTCAGCGCACACACAATGGCTACCACCAGATTAGCCGACAGAGCTACAGTAAGCTGCTCTCTCAATCCCACTGCAATGAAGGTATACTGAAAGTTAAGAAATTCACTAATCAAATGTAGAAAAGGGTGCCATGATCAGGGAGAAATACTGTACAGTGATACAGTAGTTTGGTTTCAGACACTTAAAGACTGTCATACTACAGGTACAATGTAGAGGATGAGATACTGACATACAGTACAGTTATTTTGGAAAAATAATGATAATATTAATAAATTAATAATAATAATAATAATAATAATAATAATAATAATTAACAATTAAATCGCAATGCTTACAATTAAGCCTGTCTCACTATTTGTTTTTTAAAGGATATTCATCAGACTAAATAAAAATAACCTCATTTAATAACCCTTTCTCTCATGGCATTTTGTTAGCCTTGTAAAAACAGGGTAAGCTGCAAACTGACGGCAAACGACGGGTAATCGTGTATTGTTAATGTGTTGCGTGTTCGACACTGATTTGATTCAAGGTGTCTAGTCAATGAAGTATATACCGTAGTGAGAATGTTTCTTCAAGTTGAGGACAGTGTTTTTCGTGCGGTGGTGCAGTGCTAGTTCATGAGGCCGACATGTTTTTGACAAGCACGCGATTGCTGTTGTGAAAGGAGAAGCACCGTGCTGCATCGTTGGACATTTACCCCTAGAGAACTCAAAGTTATTTCATTTCTTTTTGAAACACAAGGAATTATTGATGTTCAAATAACCGGCAACAAACAAAGGAACAGCAAAATAGCAGGAGGCCTAAAGATAACCTGCACATTAACTTGTTCCTCTACAAATAAAGAACTTATTGACCGTTTAAAGCAGCTTGTTAGGTAATTTTTGATTTTACAATTCACCTCTAGTAAACGCCCCCCTTTGAAAACATGCAACGCCCCGGGGGCGTTTATTAGAGACAATACAGTAGTAACTAAAAAAGTGACCATTCTCACAACTGGAACAGTTGATCCCTTGATTAGAAGCCCAGAACTGCACTTACTACAGTATGCTATGCTGGGGCCAGTCTCTTTGGAACTGAAGCATTCCAGCAAGCAAGTGATTTTTATGTTGGATTTCATCATCATTTTGATGATAGGGTATCAGAGTGAGGTTTTTATGAAGTTATAGGCGATTATTTACGATTTTACCATGATGTCACTGTCGAAAAAGTAACAAAAGATCGTGTAAATAGCGCCGCGTAGGGTATCCACCGCATAGGGTATCCGCCTCGTACGATCTTTGCATGCATGCTGTAACAATCACAATTTACAGGCATGGTTACAGCATACACGCAAAGATCGAACGCAGCAGATACCCTACGCGGCGCTATTTACACAATCTTTTGTTACTTTTTCGCCAGTGACGTCATGGTAAAATCATATATAATCGCCTATAACTTCATAAAAAAAAGCCAAAAAAAACAATTTTAAGGTTGATTCTATTATTAATGGCATATCAAAAATCCTCTCTAGAACAAAAAATCATTTTGCTAGTTCTCTTTTAAAGGATACCATAATGTAGTTCATTTGAGAATGCACTTTAGCATAAGGAATGGTTTAATTAATACAGTAAATACTGTATATAGGCCTAGTATTATTAAGTAGGTAGTATAGTAGGAAAGCTTAAATTGTTAGCCTGCAATACAGTACCTCAAAATAAGTAGGGATGGCAGGGCTTAAAATAAAATCAATAATAATAATAACAATAATAATAATAATAACAATAATAATAATAATAATAATAATAAGTAGTATAGTATAGAGGATAGCTTGTGGACTGGTTTGTTTATAAATTAGTCATTCATACTATAATGAAGATGACTCATAGCATCTGGCAATTGTCAATAGCCCTAAAGTAATCAAAATCACTAAATAGCCTACAGTATGATTACTCAATCTACTAAATAACCATCACTATAATATAATGCTAATAACAAGTACAATTTTACTGTACAGAAATTGTAAATTTTTTTGTTCCCTTCATAACACTCCTGAATACTGTAGTTTACCACACTAGTTTCATCCTTTGGAATAGCACCGCCAATGAACAAACAGCGAGATTCACCATTCCTAGTGTAACGGTAGCTGCCTGAATAAGCATGCATGGTTTTAATTTGAAATACAGTATATCAGCTGAAAACGACTGATATTTTTGCTTTACTGTAAATGAAGTTTTATGTCGGTTTATTGGTTTAAATATTTTCTTTCTTGGCTTCGCGGATAAGATTTTTGTATAGTGAGAAAATATAGTGTGAAAATAACATTTGTAACAATGTCAGCGCGACAAACTGAGTTTGTAAAATTGAGAGTTCACAATTGGGAGATGTCTCATAGTTCAGAAATTGTCCAAAGTACAGTATTATTATACTTTTAAATTGGTCAGTAGAAAAACACTGACTGTCTAGTACTTCACATTGGCTTAGTGCAAAGCTGGACCCTCACTGTGCTAATGGTACTGCAGTAGTGTACAGTAGGTTACACTAAGGTAGGCCTACTGTATACTGTAGGGCCTGCAGAACTTTTGAATAAAAAAAAGCATTAGAGCCTAGTAGTACGGTAAATATAATATTAATGTAATTTAATGAAAAAAGTTTGTCTACTATAAAGTTAATTTTTTAAATTTTTATGGAATTTAATTTAGGAGAAGAAAGTATAATACATACTCCAAGTATTGAAATACACGCCATCGTGTTGGGATTCAATATTTCGACATTAATTATGTCATCATCAGGTTTATGTATTATACTTTCTTATCTGAGATTAATCAGTGGACCTTTCGGTTTAATTTAGGAGCTGTTTTGAATTTTTGCATATCCAGTTCATTTTTGTATTTTACATTATCAGCCTCCAGCAGCATACCAAATCCCCTCCTAGAAAGAAAATGAAATGACTGTATTTTACATAAAGTACAGTCTTCTGGTCCCCTGTTGAAAAAACTTTACTTAGCACCTCTTACCCAAAACCATTAACGTTCCTAGCTACAGCCAAAGGGACAGAACCCATCACCTAGGCACCATACTGTACATAACTACAATTTACTATTTATTGGCATAAACAGTGTTTGTATGATGATTATAGATCAAAGTATTCTTTACACCTTTGATAGACCTTGAATTTTGAGCCAAAGCTTTACTCCTGTATACAAAAGCCAAGTAAATTATCCTACAATCAATGAATATAAAGCAGTCTCCTTGAATTGTTCTGCATTGTTTTTACTGGTACTTTGATCTGAATCCAAATTTACCTTCTTCGCTACTTACACGTTGTCCATTACTCCTCTTGTTACTTTACATTGATGTTAAAAAAAGTGTTGTTGCAGTGTAAATATTATTGCAAATTATTATATATGTTTATCACTTTATGCAATAAAAAACAATTGTCAACACAGTGGAAGATAAGTCAGTGTAAATGCATGTGGTTAATGTCAGTGAAGATGAATATTTAAATTAGTCACATGCCAGGAAGTGCATATATGTCATAACACCAAGTGCATGTCTTTATCAGGTTTACAGTACATTAATTTAAGGTGCGAGTAAAAGATTGGTGATCACATTTTAAATTGATAAGAACATCCCATTCCATGCACAAGCATACTCAGTACTGCCAATTATTTTTAGTCAACAAAGAATACATACAGTAAATAAAAAAAGAACATTAATTACACAAATCAATGGTGATTCATGAAGTACACAAAAAATGTCTACTCTAAACAACCAAAAATGTAACCTCACATGCATATATACAGGCTACAGCAATTCTTTCTATATTTTATGTAGGACTGTACCTATACTAACCATAAAGTGTCATAAGAAACCACATAAGCCAAGGCCAGGCTAAGCCTACTAGTAGTACTACTGTACTGTAGGCCTAGTGTAAGTAGGTCTGATTAAAGAGAACCCTCCTGATGTCTCCTTTTATCCATGATGTCACAACAGTTCAGTGCACTGTCGGTTTGTTTTTTTTATAAAAATATTAAATGAAATATTTTCTATTAAATTAAATATTTTCTACTCACCTATCTACAGTCTGCAGGCACATGCACGATTATTGAACACGTTTTGTCCGTTATTTATTTATTTATTTTTTTTATCAGTATAGTCCGTAAGTAAGAGAATTTTAGAATACCAATCAGGGCCGGGCAACAGCAGACAGATTATCAAGGAGCAGGGAGTTTACGTAGTGTACGGAGTCAACAATGAAGACAGCAGAAGCGACAGGCCCTATTTTTAGGCCTAGAAAGGCTTGGCTTCCCACGGCACGGAAAATACTTTCATTTAATGAAGACGCCTACATTTAGAAAGTTGATGATTACTCGGTAAAATGACCTAATGGGACTAAAATAAACATTCAGTTACAGGACGTACTTACTTAGGATGTGACAAACAACGTTCAGCTCCACAAAAATTGTTATTATTTCCCTAATAAAACAACAACAGATCTCATAACTTCCGTGTTGAGGTGAAGTTGACCTAACTGCGCCTATATTAAGGTCAAAGCACGCCATCATCTCCAGTTGATGGTTCCCGGTGGTTAACTGGTTCGCCCATACGTGGTACAGTATTTTCACTCAAAACATTACTTTATGAGAAGGGGGTGTTTATATTACGTAACTTCGAATCCTATTGAAAATATTACGTATGTAATGGAGTGACAAACAATAATGGAATTATAAAGTTTAAAGACATACTGTCATCAAAATAATTGTGAAAACTATCTCAATAAATTGAAATAAATCTTTTTATTTTGCATAAGTCATCTAACTTTTTTTTGTTAAGTCACAGATCGGAAAAATTACAATTATATTTCAAGGATTACGAAACCTTTTTATTTCAAAACTTTAATGGTATCCAAATACAATAAAATTTTGGAAAATATCCTTGTACTAATTTTAGTTGAACGCTAATAACTCTGTCTCTTATACACACCTGAACTTTTGA